CACAGCTCACAGCAACCTCCAACTCCTGGGCTCAAGTGAGTCTCCTGCCTCTGCCTTCTAAGTAGCTGGGACCACAGGCACCCACCACAATGCCCGGCTATTTTTTTTGGTTGCAGCCATCATTTGTTGTTTGGCAGGCCCAGGCTGGACTCGAACCCACCACCTTAGGTGTATGTGGCTGGCGCCTTAGTCACTTGAGCCACAGGTGCCGAGCCAAAACACTCTTTAAGACAAAAAGCCCATTGGTGACTGCTGGAAATCGCATTGCTTTCCACCATAATTAGCCTGGGGAACATGCAGACCTCATGTACTGCAAGGTGCACTTTGAGTTTTTGTCCCCACTCTCACATGTCTAACCAAGACCTCCCTTCGCCAGGCCACTTCCTAGCCATGCAATTAGGGAAATTGCATCACCTCTCTAAGCCTGAGAAACAAACAACTACACATTCCCTTATGCAATTGCCACACGGGGAATAACGGGGAGAGTGGAATAAGAGGTAGGAATGCAGGATCTTTTCGTCACTACAGAGTTGCACAGGAGAAGAAATTCAGTATTGAGAGCTCAGTCTTGGAAACCAAAATTTGGGGTTCGAATACCAGCTTCCCTTCCAGTTGGGGTGAGTTTCAGCAGAGCCAGGGCCAGGCTTCCCCACTCCTGATGTCCTGCTGATCAAAAGATATCAAAAGCACAAGATGGGCTCAGCGCCTATAGCTCAGCAGCTAGGGCGCCAGCAACATACACCAGAGCTGGTGGGTTCAAATCTAGCCAGGGCCTGCCAAACAATGACAACTCCAACCAAAAAATAGCCAGGCATTGTGGCGGACGCCTATAGTTCCAGCTACGTGGGAGACTGAGGCAAGAGAATAGCTTAAGCTCAAGAGTTTATTGCACCTGTGGCTCAAGCAGCTAAGGAGCCAGCCACAGACACCTGAGGTGACGGGTTCGAATCCAGCCCAGGCCCACCAAACAACAATAACGGCTGCAACCAAAAAACAGCCAGGCATTGTGGTGGGCACATATAGTCCTAGCTACTTGGGAGGCAGAGGCAAGAGACTCACTTGAGCCCAGGAGTTGGAGGTTGCTGTAAGCTGTGACGCCACAGCACTCTGCCCAGAGTGACACAGTGAGACTCTGTCTCAAAAAAAACAAAAAAAAAAAGCACACTACGGGGCCAGGCACAGTGGCTCACACCTATAATCGCACCAGGCTGCAAGGCAGGTGGACTGCCTCAACTCACAGGTTCGAGACCAGCCTGAGCCAGAGCGAGATCTAGCCTCTAAAAATCACTGGGTATTATGGCAGGTGCCTATAGTCCCAGCTACTTGGGAGGCTGAGGCAAAAAGACTCACTTAAGCCCAGGAGTTGGAGGTTGCTGTGAGCTATGATACCACAGCACCCTGAGGGTGACAAAGTGAAACTCTATCTCCCCCCCCCCCAAAAAAGGGGGGGGGGAGCACAATGTGTATATCTAAATAAGTCTTCCTGTCAATACTACACTTTAAGCTTCACAGTGCCTTTTTTTTTTTAGGCAAGAGTTTCACTGTGTCGCCCTCGGTAGAGTACCATGGCATTGCAGCTCACAGCAATCTCAAACTCTTGGGTTTAAGAGCTTCTCTTGCCTTAGCCTCCCAAGTAGCTGGGACTACAGGCACCTGCCACAACGCCCGGCTATTTTTTTGTTGCAGTTGACATTGTCGTTTAGCAGGCCTGGGCTGGGTTTGAACTTGCTAGCCTCAGTACATGTGTCTGGCACTGTAGTCTCTGTGCTATGGGCACTGAGCCAAGGCTTTTCTATGAATCAAGTATTACAAGTGAAGGGACATAGGGCTTTGGGTTACATGGACTGTAGACATTTGTCAAAATTCTTCAAATGGTCTGCTTAACATGTACATGTTTCACTTAAGTTATTAACAGAACCACAAATACCAAATTCTAGTTAATGATGTGTATGTATTTGGGAATGGCAGGGATTGGAGCCTACAACTTACTCTGAAATGCATCCCAAGAAATTGAGATTGGAAAGAAAGACGTATAATAAACCTAATACAGCAAAACATGAATGTTAGAATCTATGTGGTAGGTGTGTTTAGGTGTTTCACAGCTCTTTCAACTTCCCTGAACATTTGAAATACAAAAATTAAAATGCTAACTCACTTCCTGGTATACAAAGGGCACTCCAGTATGTCTAATATTCAGTAATATATAAACTTGAGGATGAGAGTCCAACCCACCTTTGAACCATGCCACGAACTTATTCAGCAGGTATATGCAGGTTTTCAGAAACTGAAATGAAGGCTAAACAAAGAGTGGCAAGTGAAAATCAGTTTGGAAGCCACCTTTGGAGGAAGGGAAGGGGGAGAAACACCCAGCAGAGATCTGCTAGGATCACAGACCTGCCTCTATCTCACGGGCCCCCAGTGGCCCAGTCAAATCACCATGTTCTCCAGATCTGCTTCTCCCCAGCAGGGAGGGTTAATTCAGGTTTTTAAGACCCAAGTCATCAGCCTTTTATGGGAAGGAGAATAGGAAGCCCTCCCAGGGCGCCACAATCCGAGAAATTACTCATCCGGTCTCATCTCCAGTAAGCAGGCAGGATCCTTCCTCCCAGCCCCCAAAAACCCTGGCCAAGTATAGAACATTTGTTTTCCAATCTAGACACCAGATGGCAGCAGCACCCAGTTCATGACTAGACAACAAAGTCCGGCACATGCAGCCCAACTGTTGACTTTTAATCCAGTTCCAGTCTCTGTGCTGCCCCTGTCCCCACAGTCCAACCAACTCCAACAGACGGGAACCACACCTTCAATGACTGCACCGTCTTATCCTGTCAGGAAATCCAACTTCTCTAGGTCCCAAAGGCCCTAACACCACAAACAGTAGAACCCCCGCGTGCCCATGGAGAAAGTATCCTAAATGTGGGCAGCTGCGAAAACACAGGTGGCCATTTTAAATGCTACAAGGGGCTGGGGGGAGCACAAAGAAAGCAAGCAAGCAGACCTCCGCCTCCCAAGGCCATATGCCCTGTCATGGGCAGCTGCAGGAGAGCAGGCCCAGAGAACAGGAATTCCCAATTTGCAAGCACTACCTCTGGACTGTGAATAAGCTAATCTAAATTTCTAGGAAGATTTATGATCTGATGCTTACTGAGCACCATCAGTGTACGTTTTAAAGAAAAACTGCTCCTTATGTCCTATGTGCGTGATGATCCTTACTAGGCCCTTCCCACGAATTCCTGGGCCCTCTGTTGCGCTCCAATTTCCTTCTCCAGAAATTATTTTGAGGAGAGCTTTTTAACAAAAGAAAAAAAAAAGGATAAATTTTAAAAGCCCAGACACTACGGATTCTAGCACCAACTGCCTGCCCTGGGTGTCAGTCTGCAGGTCCCGCCTTTGTTCCTTCCTGGCGCAGGCATCGGAGGGTTCTGTGGACTTCTCCTTCCGGACACGTGAAGCCGGATGGACGAGGGAGGAGGGGGTGGAGAATTGTAGCTACTGGTGGCTGCCCAGGCGCAGTGCCTGGACCCGGCAAGAACAAAGGTGTTAGGCTGGCGGGCAGCCTGCTGTTGGCTTACCTGCTTGCCCCTATAGAAGAGCCTCTGCAAGCCTGGCTCCACGTGGAACAGCTCCTGGATCTTCTGCCTCAACTCTTGCACCTTGGTCAGCTTAGACAGACGAGTCACCGTTCGGGTCATTCTCCCGTCCATGGTGCGCACCCGGATCCACATGTTGTCAGAACTGTGGGAAAAGATGGCAAGAGCCTAGGTCAGTTGTGCCGCACTGCCTGGCGAGAGCCACACTGGGGTCACAGCTGCTTTTGTCCAGCCTGTAGACAGGAGGAAACTCCCTTAACGCCCTTTCAGCCTCCCGCTCCCCATATACTGTTAGACTCCGAGGACTAGAAAGAGCAAATTAAGGACTTAATGAATGAGTTAATGACTAGCAGGTGTTGAAATTAAGGACTTAATGAGTTAATGACTACCAAGTGTTGAGGACAGAGGTAGGTACGGACAGGCACGAAGAGCGAGCAAAAGGGGTCTCAGACCACCCAGTCAGTGCAACCCACACACTTTCAGAGGAAAACACCAGCGACCAAAGGAGAGAGGCGGCCTCGGCTGAGGGAGCGCGGCCGCACAGCGAGCGGCTAAGGTGGTTCGTTTGTTCATTCATTCATTCACTCACTCACTCACTCAGATTCCTATTAACCGAAAGAGGAATCCCGAAAAGTCCGGTATGGGCTGGAACTTCAGAAGTCCCGGGAGAACTCAACCAAGTACTACTGAGAGGGAAAAATTCCACCCGAGACCCACAAACCCCGGGACCCCCGTTCCCCCCACCCAGCCTCCGCGCGCGTGCGCGGCGGGGACCGCCCCGCGGTGGCCATGGTAACCGGTCGCCCCTGTGCGACTCACCTCGGACCCCCAATCCCGGACGGCTGGCGCTTCCCGGGCCCTCGGACCCCGGCGTCCCTCCCACGCTCCCACCTGCCCGCGCGGGTCGCGGCCAGCGAACCCACGCCCACCCCCACTTCTGGACCCACCAAGGGGGCCCAGTTCGCCCAGTCCCGCCCCCCTTCACTTGAGCCGCCTTTCTTATTGGTTCCACCGTGCCCGGCCTCCCCGCTCGCTCCTCATTGGCTAAGACGCGCCCGGGGAACTTAGGGCGCGCGAAATCGGGCTCGGGCGCGACAATTGAATCGCGGGGCACCCCGCGCGCAGGCGCGGCGCCTGACATCCTCCCCCGCGGCCCTCACGGCCCTCCCCCACACAGCCCGCTAGACCCCCAGGGGCGCTCCAGGGACTTTCCTCTTGCAGCGGCTTGGGAAGGCTGTGCCCGGGCCGGGGACGACTCTCAAGGGCTGGCGGAAGGGGAGGCCCCCAGTCCCGGGAACATATTCGGGGCAGTCCCAGCGCGGGGCACGCTTGTGCCGGTACTTGGCCGCGCGTCCCGGCCCGCTCGGGAAAGTTTTGCCAAACTCCTGACTGCCACCCCCAACCCGATCCGCCGCTCACCTCTTTGGCCACCGCGACGCACTCGCCTGCCTGTGTGTCTGACCCGGTTGGGGATGGTGACAAAGCTGCGTGCGTGGTCCGGACCCCGCGCAGACGTGCGGTGCGAACCGGAGCGCCCAGTGGGCTAACGCTGCAAGCCGCGCTGCCAGCTGCTCTGATTTCTTTCCCGCGAAAACTCGGCATTTGGGAGTTGCGGGGCCGCGGGAGGCCGTGCCGGGGGCGGGCGCCTGCCTCCTGATTGGCCCGCGCAATGGCGGGAAGAAAGAAAGGGGGTGGGGGACGCCCCCGCCTCTGTCTACCAGTCCTCCGCCCAGCCGGCCTCGGCCCCGCCCATTCCTATGCGCTCTGTTGTGCGCGTCCCGCGTGTTTGGGGGCTGCGTGGCAGGAGCTGGGTCCCCCATGTATGTGCTCCTCAGGAGTTTCCGGGTTAGAGACGCCCCCCTGCCGACCGCTTAAGTCAGTTCGTAGCACCCCCCCCCCCCAGGCACGCACTGACCAGTTAGGCTAAGAAGGCCGGAATCAATGTCTAAATACCATGAAAGAACGTGGGGGGCCCTACAAGACCACCTGCACCCCATGGCTGGCCTGATCTCCGAGAGCCCCAATGCCTAGCGCCAGGGACCGCCAGCCGGGGGGTGCTCTACCCACACTCAGGGCTTGTTTGCTGGTTTTTCCCGCCTTGTTTTCCCGCCTTCTCCGAGCTGTCCAGGCGGGCAGGACTGCCCTGCCCCCTACACCCTGTCTGTTCCACTCTGGCCACTCTTGGCGGGCACACAAGTGACCTGTGCTGGGCACCTACAAAGCAGCTGGACAGGGTGCTCAGAACACGGGGAAGTCGGATGCAACTGTGGGCAAAGCAACCCAGTTTGTGGTCTGGAGAACATAAATTCTTATCTGGGGGACATAGGCAAGAAATGGATAAATAAAGCAAATAACTTCAGGTAATTTCTGATAGGAGAGTCCATGAAGGCTGAACAGTGAGCAGCTGTCATGTGGGGGTGCAGGAAGTGGATATTCTAGTTATGGCGAATGTAGTGGACCTCTTGGAAAAGATGGCAGTTCAGCTGAGATCCTGACTCCAAGGACAGTGGGGTCTATCTAAAAGGGAAGGACAAACTCAGAGTCCAGAAAAGGCTTAGAGGTGTCCAGGGAGCAGGAAGAGGTTGGTATGGCTTGGGCAGACGGACCAAGGGAGGGGGGAAGGGATGAGGTCAGAGGGGTGACATATAATACCTGGAAAGGCCACCAGGAAGACCTTGGTCTTTCTTTTGAGATCTGTCAGCAGAAAAGCATAGCGTTCATGTGTGAGTTTTTACAAAGCTTTTCTACCATTCTACAAGGCCTACTCTGTCTTGTGAGCAGTGCTTCTGCTATTTCCCCATGTGGGACACCCCCTCCCACTGAGATGTCCTTGCCCTAATCCCCAGAATCTGTGACTATGGAGCCTTTACACAGCTAAAGGGACTTTTTACAGGTGTGGTTAATTTAATGATTTTGAGATGTGGACCCCACAGTCTGGGTGGTCCAGGTGGGCCAAATGTTACAAAAGTCCTAATAAGGGGAAGAGGGAGACAGGAAGGTCAAAATCACAGGAAATATGACAACAGCAGCAGGGGTTAAAATGATCAAGTCAAGAAGCTGAAAATGTGGGTAGGCTCTGGAGGCTAAAAAAGGCAAGGAATGGCTTTTGGAATTGGAATTCTCTCCTAGAACAACACCTTAATTTTAGCCCTAGGACTCATTTCAGACTTCTGACTTCCAGAAGTGTAATATAAAAAAAAAAAGTGTGTGTTACTTCAAGCCACTGAGTTTGTGGTCATTTCTTACAGCAGCAACAGGAAACTAATACATTCTGTTCTACAAAGTTCAGATGTTGCTGTTAACTTTCCAACTGGAGGACTCGGTCAATGCTGCTGAACACAGTTCTGGACCCTCAGCTGTCAGCCATGTAGAGACCATGCCACAGGTGTAAGCAGGAATCAAGAAGGCCCACGTGAGTCTGAGAAGCGGCTAAGTTCTTCCAAAGTAAGAACACCTGCCCCAGCTCCTAGCTTATTCCTATAAGAGCACATCATCTGTTGCAAACACTCAACGTGGCTGAAAGAGGAAATACATTCTTCATGCACACTTAGTTCAGAGCACTGCCCAGGCACCTTGGATTGCTGAAGTTAAACACAGAAACAAATATTGAACTTTCCCTGCAGAAAAGACCTTTAAGGGCTGTTGATTCAGGCCTCTAATTCCCTACACCATCTTGAGAAAGTCAAAATTTTTCAAATTTGCTCAGGTTAATATTTTTTTTGTTGAGACAGAGTCTCACTTGGTCACCCTTGGTAGAGTACTATGGTGTCATAGCTCACAACAACCTCAGACTCTTGGACTCAAGTGATCCTCTTGCCTCAGCAATCCAAGTAGCTGAGACTACAGGTACCCACCACAATGTCTGGCTATATTTAAGAGATAGGGTCTCACTCTGGCTCAGGCTGGGCTTGAACCTGTGAGCTCAGGAAATCCACCTGCCTCGGCCTCCCAAGTGCTGGGATTATAGGTATGAGCCACCGTGACTGTAATAATTGTTTTATTATTATTTTTTTTTTTCTTTTTTGAGACAGAGCCTCAAGCTGTCCCCCTGGGTAGAGTGCCGTGGCATTACAGCTCACAGCAACCTCCAACTCCTGAGCTCAAGCGAGTCTCCTGCCTCCGCCTCCCAAGTAGCTGGGACCACAGGCGCCCACCACAACGCCCGGCTATTTTTTGGTTGCAGCCGTCATTGTTGTTTGGCGGGTCCGGGCTGGGGATTCGAACCCGCCACCTTAGGTGTACGTGGCTGGCGCCTTAGCCGGTTGAGCTATAGGCGCCGAGCCTTATTATTATTTTTTGAGACAGAGTCTCAAGCTGTTGACCTAGGTAGGGTGCCGTGGCGTGGCGTCACAGCTCACAGCAACCTCAACTCTTGGACTTAAGCCAGTGGGACAGACAGACATTGGTGGGCACAAAGCTCACTGAAGAGATTCTCACCCTGGAGGGACTTCCATCCAATGGGGGAGACGCAGACAAAAAAGCAATGTCAGTCATGCAGGAAGATAATGCTTCCTGACAGTGTCAATGTTCAGATTAAGTACACAATGCTCTAAGCATCTTCAGTACACAGTGGATCTCATGTCCTGGCCATATATGGCCATATTTTCTAATAGAGACTGATATAAATGTAGAGCCATTAAAATAAAAATGATTATCAGTATATAACCCAAAACCAACCTGCAAACCTGATTGGTGCATGTGCCACTTTGGGGAACCATCTGATAGGGCAGAAAATACCTCTGGGCTCATGTTCTGGGTCTCTACTTCTTCACCTGTTAATGGAGCTGATAATGCTAAGTGCACCAGGGTGGTTGGAAGAATAGAGACCAGTCCAACCAGGCCTCCCAAACTCCTAGAAAGATGTCAGGCATTCCTTATGTTTTGGAAATACTGGAGTCTTTCATGTTTTTCATTTGTTGTGTTTTGTTATTTTCTATTAAAAAAAAAAAGTGGTGGCCTGGCATGATGGCTCACACCTGTAATCCCAGCACTTTGGGAGGCTGAGTCCAGAAGATCACTTGAGCCCAAGACTAGCCTGGATATAGCAATACCCTGTCTCTGCAAAAAATAGGAAAATTACCTGGGAGTGGTGGCTCACGCCTGTAGTCCCAGCTACTTGAGAGGCTGAGGTGGGAGGATCACTTGAGCCCAGGAGTTTAAGGCTAGACTGAGCTATGATTGTGCAAATGCATTTCAGCCTGAATGACAGAGCAACTCTAAACAAAAAACAAAAATAAAATTAATATAAAAATAAAATGGCCAGGCTACCATTTCAAAAAACCAGTGAGGACTATGTGATTCCTAAGCTACCACCTGCCCCACTGCCCAAACAGCATCCTTGCCTACTTTCGAGGCCTTTCCGGAACTCTGGTGGAGTGATGTCACAGATGGATTACCTCACTACAGCCAAGGAACTGGGACTCTCAGCGGCATGGGGGAGAGGGAAGGATGTTTTTCCACCACCCCAACCCCCCATGTCTGTGGTGAAGTCAATCGAATTAGTGCTGCCCAAGGATATGATCTACCTGGCTGGCTCCAGCGTAAAAGGACAGGTGATTCTAACCCTGAACAGCACCCTGGTGGACCCCATAGTCAAGGTGGAGCTCGTGGGAAGGGGTTACGTCGAGTGGAATGAAGAAATTGGGGCATCCCGTGATTACAGCAGAGATGTGATTTGCAACAACAAAGCAGACTACGTGCATAAGACAAAGACATTCCCAGTGGAGGGTAAGGACAAGGCCAGCAGAAAACCCTAGCCATATGGGAACCTGGGTCCAGAAAGTAAACACATCTGATAGTCAATCAGGAAACCCCCAGGGATAACAGAAATAGAGGCCTAGTTCCTCCCTAGGAGATTAGCCATATAGAACAACAATCATCAGATGCACATAACACAAAAATAACAAGACATAAGGAAATGACCAGAACCTAGGTATTCAAAATGAAGTTTCAAAGCACTCTCCTTAGAAAATGCCATGCTTTCTCCAACACCTGCCTGTTGTGGGGTCAGGAGCATAAGAAATCTTTCTTGTTTTACAGATTAATCTCCCTGTGCCAGTGAAACCCCAGGAAAAAAAAGTAAGAAACACTGTAGTCACAGGGAAAGATAGTCAAGGCAGAAGAGAGCGAGAGACCCTCTGAGGAAGGCTAACTAGCCAGGCCCCACCAGTTCAGATCTGAACTCTAAACAGACATCAGGGAGTCTGAACTGCCAAGGAACTTGCTGTCCATTTCCAAATGTGTGTAGGGGGATGTTTCTGGGTATTCTCTAGTCAAGTAGAACACGATTTGATTGAACAAATTTGATTTTAGGCTTAAAATTTTAGCTAGAGTAGTAAGGGAAGGCCTCTCCAAAGAAGTGACAACTAAGATCAGATCTGAGTGATAAGATGGACTCCAGCCATGCAGATAACCTGGAGACAAATGGCAACATGTCAGAGGTTAATACTCAGTAGTGATGTTACCTTTCTGTGTCTCAATTAACCCATCTATAAAATGGGAGTAGGAAGAGGTCCTGCCTCATAAAATTGTTTTGACAACTTAATGAATTAATGGCACATAGAGGGCTTATAATAGTGCCAAGCATACAGTATGTACTTGAAAATTCTTAGTTGTTCAAATTCCTACCCAAACACTCCTTCCCTGTACAAGTCTCAGCATTAGATTTCCACCTGTTCACATTTCCAGGTGATTAAATTTCCCCCCTCAAAAACTTCAGCCTGGCTGGGTGCAGTGTCTCCCACCTATAATCCTGGTAATTTGGGAGGCTGAGGTGGGACAGTAGCTTGAGCCCAGGAGTTCAAGGCTGCAGGACTCACCACTGCTGTCTAGCTTGGGTGACACAGCAAAGCCCTATTTCAAAAAAAAAAGCATCTGCCTGAAGCCTGCTATGAATCCTATAAATATTTAGCAAATACTTATTGAGCACCTGCTGTGCACAAACACCTGTTCTAGGTGTTAGGGCTGCAGCTGTGATGAATAAAACAGAGTCCTTGGTGTCTTTGGGATTACCATCTGCTAGTGAAGATAGATAATAAGAGTATTTCAGAGAAATGTAAGAAGGAAAATAAAATGGGGGGCCAGGCATGATGGCTCATGTCTGTAATCCTAACACTCTGGAAGGCTGAGCCAGGTAGGTTGCTTGAGCTTAGGAGTTCAAGACCAGCAAGAGCAAGATGCCGTCTCTACTAAAAACAGAAAAACTAACCAGGCATTGTAGGCACCATAGTCCCAGCTACTCGGAAGCCTGAGGCAAGAAGATTGCTCAAGCCCAGGAATTTGAAGTTGCTGTAAGCTACGATGATGCTGTGGCACTTGATCCAGGGTGAAAGAGTGAGACTCTGGCTCAAAAAGAAAAAAAAAAGGGCTCGGTGCCTGTGGCTCAAGTGGCTAAGGCACCAGCCACATACACCTAAGGTGGCGGGTTCAAATCCAGCCTGGGCCTACCAAACAACAATGATGGCTGCAACCAAAAAAAACATCCAGGCGTTGTGGTGGGCGCCTTGGTCCCAGCTACTTGGGAGGCAGAGGCAGGAGACTCGCTTGAGCCCAGGAGTTGGAGGTTGCTGTGAGCTGTGATGCCATAGCACTCTACCCAGGGGGACAGCTTGAGGCTCTGTCTCAAAAAAAAAATAAAAGGAAAAGAAAATGGGAAGGTCACAGAGATGAAGGTGGTGTGAGAATGTGCTCCCTGGACTCAGCCATCAATCCATGAATAAATTTATGTATACATTTATTTCTTTTTGAGAGAGTCTTACCCTGTTGCCCAGGCTAGAGTGTTATGGCATCAGCCTAGCTCACAGTAACTTCAAACTCCTGGGCTTAAGTGATCCTCCTTCCTCAGCCTCTTAAGTAGCTGGGACTACAGGTGCTCACCATGATGCCCAGCTAATTTTTCTATTTTTAGGGCAGCACCTGTGGCTCAGTGAGTAGGGCACTGACCCCATATACCGAGGGTGGTGGGTTCAAACCCAGCCCCGGCCAAACTGCAACAAAAAAATAGCTGGATGTTGTGGCAGGTGCCTGTAGTCCCAGCTACTCGGGAGGCTGAGGCAAGAGACTCACCTAAGCCCAAGAGCTGGAGGTTGCTGTGAGCTGTGATGTCACAACACTCTACCAAGGGCAACAAAGTGAAGACCTCTGTCTCTAGAAAAAAAAAAAAAGAAAGAAAGAAATTTCTGTTTTTAGTAGGGGAAGGCGTGGTTTCTCACTCTTGCTCAGGCTGGTCTTGAACTCCTAAATTCAAGGGATCCTCCCACCTCAGCCTCCCAGAGGGATAGGATTGACAGATGTAGCCACTGCACCTGGTATCAATCAACAAATATTAAGCACCTACTGTATGCCAAGTGCTGAACACAAAGATCCATGAGGGTAAGGGGGTTTGTCTCACTCTCATAAACACTACCTAAAACCATCTCTGGCATACGATGTTCAAGGTGTGTTTTGTTGGATCTCGAGAGCTCCAAGCATCCCTCTCCATCCCAATTGGAGTCCGATATTTATGGTCCAAGCAGCTCAGGAGGGACAGACAAGCCCAGCCTAGAATGTGCCTCCTCATCAAAGCAATAAATAAAGGGGGATAAAATGAAGGGGAAAAGAAAGATTCTAGAACCTTCTGATGGTGTCGGTGTGTTTTGCTTTCAGATAATTGGTTAAGTGCAGGCAGCCACACCTTTGATTTCCATTTCAACTTACCTCCCAGGCTTCCATCTACCTTCATCAGCAAAATTGGCCACATCTCCTACTTCATACAAGCTTCCTGCATGGGCCGAGAACACATTTTAGCCAAGAAGAAGATTTACTTATTGGTTCAAGGGATTTCAGACTTCCATAAAGAAAACCCATTCCAGGTACCTGTCAGTGGATGGGGGTAAGGTGGGAGTGGGGATCATTTGCCAAGTGGGAAGTGGGGAGTGGGGATCATTTGCCAAGCTCCGAGGAGGAAGAAGAAAAGTAGGCAGACAGAAGTCAGGGAAGGCCACCACAGGGAAGAAGAGAAAGCTGTTGGTGGCTGTGCAGGCCCAGGATTTCACAAAAGATAAGTCAGAAATCAGGTCAGGAATTAAGCTGGTGGTTCTCAACTGGGGCTATTTTATCCTCATAAGGGACACATGGCAATGTCAGAAGATGCATTTGGTGGACATTGCCGGTCAGGGGTGCTCCTGGCATGGAGTGGGTAGAGGTAGGGATGCTGCTCAGCACCTGCAGTGCCCAGGAAGGCCCCACCCCAGAGAAAGATCTAGGCCCAAATGTCAGTATGCCAGGAAGGAGGCTTTGTTCTAGGGCAAGGCCAGATTCAAGACCCCAATCTGGTGACTCAGTGGCTCTCTATAACCTTTGAGCAGGCGATGAAGATGGTGCCCCCTAAGAAGTGAGGCCACTGATGTGGGCTCTGTCTCAGGGAGGCCTAGGAAGTCCCAGGAAAGCCCAGGCAGCGTTCAACGGGCTAAGCACAGGAGCTGTTCTGGGTCCCTTCCTGAGGCCAGGTTCACAGGCAGAAGTAGGGGTGGGTGGAGAAATGTTGGCCAAAGTCACTTCACCTCCCTGGGGAGTAATTTAGCATGCAGCATTGGGTCATGATGATCAAGGTCATGGGGCTGGCATTTCTCAGGTTAAAATCCCAATGCCCCCAGATCCTGCTGATTGACCGTCTCCAAAGGAAGCCTCTCCCTGCCTCCATGTCCTCATCAATAAAATGGGCATAGAAATAGTGCAGCCTCCTAGGTCTTTCATGGAGCAATGACCAGACATATTCCAAGTCCAGGGCTTCAAGCAAAGCCTGGCAAGCCCACATACACCCTATAAATGTGCTACAACTGCTGCAGGGATTGTTTGGGGGGGGGGTTGTTTGTGTTTGTTTGTTTTGAGACAGAGTCTCATTTTGTCACACTTGGTAGAGAGCTGTGTTGTCATAGCTCACAGGAACCTCAAACTTTTGGGCTCAAGTGATTCTCTTATCTCAGCCTCCCAAGTAGCTAGGACTACAGGTGCCCGCCACAATGCTTATTAAAATAACCAAAATGGGCTCAGCGCCCGTGGCTCAAGTGGCTAAGGCGCCAGCCACATACACCTAAGGTGGCGGGTTCGAATCCAGCCAGCGGGCCCGCCAAACAACAATGATGGCTCAACCAGAGAAATAGCCAGGCATTGTGGCGGGCACCTGTGATCCCAGCTACTTGGGAGGCTGAGGCAGGAGAATCGCTTGAGCCCAGGAGTTGGAGGTTGCTGTGAGCTGTGATGCCATGGCACTCTACCCAGGGGGACAGCTTGAGGCTCTGTCTGAAAAAAATAAAATAAAATAACCAAAATGGTTATTTTTAGAGACAGGATCTTGCTCTGACTCAATCTGGTCTTAAACTTATGAACTCAGGAAATCCACCCACCTCGGCCTCCCAAATGCTGGTATTACAGGCATGAACCACTACAACCAGCCTGCTGCAGGAATTCTTATCTATGTGACAAAGATAATCTCTAGCCTGGCCAACCTCATGGATAGTCCCACAAGGATAGAGCTGGACCAGTCCTGAGTTTTGCAGAAGCGAGTTCAGGGCCTGGTCACTTGCTTCGTAGGTGACCTTGGGCAGGCCATGTCCTCCTTTCCGGGCCCCCGAGAACTAATCCAGAGGGCAAGGGCACAAGTAAAAAATGACAGCAGAACATGGGTATTGGATCAGATGGCCATGGGCAATTAGCAGACCCCTCATCTGTATAAGGGAGCAATCAATACTTCCCTCTATGGATGCTTATGAGGACTGCAAAGTACTCAGCATAGTATCAACACATAGCAGATGCCAAAAAAATGGGAAGAGCTAAAATCACCCTAATGGGAGCAGAGGGTGTTAACACAGATAAGTTTTAGGAATATGAACATGAAAATATTGTGTTGGGCAGCACCTGTGGCTCAGTGAGTAGGGCGACAGCCCCATATACCGAGGGTGGTGGATTCAAACCTGGCCTCGGCCAAACCACAACAAAAAAATAGCTGGGCGTTGTGGCGAGCGCCTGTAGTCCCAGCTACTTGGGAGGCTGAGGCAAGAGAATCACCGCCAGGCGTCCACAAACTGCAGCCTGCCAAGAACATTTATCCGGCCCACTAGGTGTTTTTGCCACTGCTGCCTGTCCTGCTTAGCAGCTGACTTGTCCTGGGGGCCTGCAGTCCGGCCCTCAACCTTCTGAGGGACAGTGAACTGGCCCCTTGTTTAAAAAGTTTGAGGACCCCTGAGTCCTAAGTGCAGGAGATGGAGGTTGCTGTGAGCTGTGTATTGCTGCCACGGCACTCTACCAAGTGAGACTCTGTCTCTAAAAAAAAAAAAGAAAAGAAAATATTGTGTTTTGGCTCAGTGCCTGTAGCTCAAGTGGCTAAGGTGCCAGCCACATACACAAGAGCTGACAAGTTCAAATCCAGCACAGGCCTGCCAAACAACAATGACAACTACAACCAAAAAATAGCCAGGCATTGTGGCAGGCGCCTGTACTCCTAGCTACTTGGGAGGCTGAGGCAAGAGAATTGCTTAAGCCCAAGAGTTGGAGGTTGCTGTGGCACTCTACCCAGGGCAACAGCTTGAGGCTCTGTCTCCAAAAAAAAGAAAAACAAGAAAGAAAATGTTGTGTTTTTAAGTACCCAGTACTGTTTGTACCAGATTGGTTAAAGGAGGCATTTTTGAGGAAGTGATGTTTTAGCAGAAAGTTGAAAGAGGGAGGGAGAAAGCCTTAAAGATATCTGAGAATACAGAGTTCCAGGCAGAGGGCACAGCCTGTGCAAAGGCCCTGAGGCAAGATTATGCCTGGTGTGTTAGAGGAGTGAGAAGGCACTTATGGCTAAAGCAGAATGAGGAGGGGGAGAGAAGGAGGAGTGGAGGGCTGAGAGGGGATGGGGCAGGTTGTTCAGGGCCTGGGGGGCTACAGTGAGGATATGGGCTTTGACCAAGAGAGAGGTAGGAACCATGGAGGGCTGTGGACAAAGAAGGGTCTGGACCTGACTCCTTCAGAAGGATAGGTAAGGTTCAAACCTCTGCTTCTACCTGGCTGAACCCTATCTTGCTCACCTGGACCAGAATAGTAGCCCTCATCCTGGTACCCCCAGCTCCCACGTCCTGCCCCCCGCCATGATCTGTCCTCCCCACAGCATCCAGAGGGCACCTATGAGCATCTGCATCAGGCGTGCACCTCCTCTGCCCACAGCCTTCCATGGCTCCCACCTCCCTTAGGGTCAAAGCCCAGTCCTTACTGCAGCCCCCAACATGCCAGGCACAGTTCTGTCTCAGGGCCTTTGCAGAGGCTGTGTCCTCTGCTGGAACATGATGGCCTTCCTATCCTCCATTCTCACCCTGCAGGTCTTTGCTCAGAAGCCACACCTTCACGCATTTGCATTGCTGATGGCCAGATAAACTGCCACAACCCTCATGGGAGGCAATTAAACTGTATCTATCAAAATGAAAAGGAACCTGCATTTTGCCCTAGCCATTTTCCTTCTAGGAATTCCGCCTACAGATCTTTCACATATACAATATGACCTCATGCAACACTGTCTGTAGTGGCAAAAAGTTAGAAACAGCCTAAATGGCTCGGCGCCTATAGCACAGTTGTTATGGCGCCAGCCACATACACCAGAGGCTGGCAGGTTCAGCCCCGGCCAGCTAAACAACAATGACAACCACAACCAAAAAATAGCTAGGCATTGTGGCGGTGCCTGTAGTCCCAGCTACTTGGGAGGCTGAGGCAAGAGAATCACTTAAGCCCAAGAGTTTGAGGTCGCTGTGAGCTGTGACGCCAAAGCACTCTACGAAGGGCAACATAATGAAACTGTCTCAAAAAAAAAAAAAGAAAAGAAAAGAAAAGAAATATTGCATTTTTTAGCCATTGTCACTAAAACCCCCAGCTCCCCAGCCCCAGGCAACCATGAATCCACTTCCCATCTCTGTGGATCTGCCTATTCTGGACATTTCACATAAATGGAATCTCACACTGTGTGTCCTCTGTGTCTGCTTCTCTCACTGAGCTCATTATTTTCACTGATGTAGCCTCTGTCAGAGTTTCATTCCTTTTTGTGGTTAAGTGATACTCCAGCATATAGATGGTCACGTACTGTTTATCCATTCACCAGTTGATGGATATTTGGGTTATTTGCACTTTGGTGCCATTATGAATATTATTTCTATGAATGTTCACATGTAAGTCTTCGCCTAGTTGGCTGTTTTCATTTCTCTTGGGTAGATACCTAGGTGTACAATTGTTGGATCATATGGTAGCATATGCCATATGAGGAACTGTCAGGGTGTTTTCCAAGGAAGCCACACTATTTTACATTCCTACCAGCAATGAATGAGGTTTCCAACTTTTCCACATCCCCTCTACTATGTACCTGTAGAATGTTGAAAGATGTGACAAATTGCTTCTTCTGACAATTAGTACTGTTTGAGAGAGCAGCTTATCCCAAACACCTTCCTAAACATCAACTGTAAGGGAGGCCCCTGTTTTATGATCCTAGAGGCCTCATCACTGTCCCTATCATAAATGACCCAGGTCACTTTCAGAAGTACCATTTTTACTTCCCATCTTCCTTACCAGAGTAAAAACTGACTGGTCTTCACTTCTATGGGTTTTCCTTGAACTTTCCATCAGGAAGGTCCAAATAAATTTTGGTTCAATGAATGAATCCCTTCTTGAAAGTTTCTTAAATGCCAAAGGCATATGTGATTTCAGAAAGCCCCCCTAAATTCAGAAAATCCAGTGTTGAGTTTGCACCCCAACATTTTTGGGAAGTAGGACACTTAGACCACCTTGCCTGGCCTGGTGTAGAGGGCTGTTGCTATACCTGCCTGTTAGTACCTCCTGGTATCTCCTTCAGGAC